TCTATTTTTTAAATCCTCACCCAAGAATATGTTTATTGATTTTAGAGAGAGGAAGGGAGAGAGAGAGAAACATCAATTGTTTGCCTCTTGTATGCACCCCGACCGGGGACCGAACCCACAACTCAAGTATGTGCCCTGACTGGAATTTGAACCCACAACCTTTTGGTGTACAGGATGACACTCCAAACAATTAAGCCACACCGGCCAAGGCCTCTGTATCTATTTTTATACCCATTTCTATGTTATAACCTGTGTGTTTATGCTGATACCTCCAATTCTAACCTAACCACGGGGATTTTTTTTAGCTTCCTCCTTTACATGTCTGAACTGCCTTCTATGGCAGTAAGAAGCCTGGCTCCCAGTGTCCTCCCCATATTTAGCTCTATGCTCCGTTTACCTATATGCAACCCATCTCCCAGTTGGGCTCAAGCTAAACCTTGGCTCCCCAGCCCCACAAGCCATACCAGAACCAAATCCCAACTAAAAGGAAGGAGAAGGGGGTGGGGGTACAAACTAGTTTGAGTGCCCTTGAATTAACAAGTTCTGTAACTTCCTGGGGACCTTTTGGGGGTTTGTCCATGCTTAGCTCCTTGCCAGCTCTTCCTGACTGTCATCTTCCTCTCCCAGCGCCGTCACTCCTTTACTTCCCAGGAGAACATGGTTTCCATATGCCGCGCACAGGCCCAGCGGAAGAATCTGCCTTGGTCATCCATAGATAAGCTTGGTCTGCGATGTGGTTTTCTTCTCATTGTGTTTTACTATTCCCCTCTAGTGATACTACTCTGCAGAAGTCTCTATTCCTAGGTCATTTTATTTATCAATGGAACTCCCAACAGTATTACACAGTTCTTAGGCTCAAGCTACAGTGAAGAGGGGAAAAGACACCATCTACATCCATGACCTGTTTCTTCAAGCTGAAGAGAAAGTGAATAACAGCAATAATCGAAATATCATCTATCTGTCTAGTGCTTTACAGTTTTGTAATCAAAGCATAGTATAGTGAGTGGATAGAGCTTAACTTTGGAGTTAGACAGACCCAAGTTCATATTCCAGTTCTGATAAATTCTATAGGGAAAACTGTATTATTTTCCTTAGCCTCAGTTTCTTCATTTGTAAAATGGGGATAATAAGGCCTTCTACTCAGGTCTTAGAGGATTAAATGAGATTATATTTATAATGTACCCAGCACATGCTTTATAAGCTTATAGCTGCAGTGGGAAAAAGAGATCAAAGAAGGATGATGGTGCACAGCGTGAAGGGATGAAGATAGGAATGATTTGCTGGGGAAATACAGAGGCGTGTATAAATCAAACTGCAAGCAGACTCTTCTCCTTCGTATCGTCTGCCTCAGCCAAACCCTCTCCCCCTTCCCACCCTGTCTTCCTCCCACCATATTCTGTTCTCCTTTCTGATTCCGTGCCTCAGTTCTCTCACCTGAATCTGCTGTGACATTTTCTCTCTAGTCTCCTCTGGTATTTCATTGTCTAAAGCAATTGCTCGTTTTGTGTAGACTGCAAAATTAGCATTTTGTTGCTGTCTGGGAACCTATCATACGCATGAGGGTCCTGTCTCCCCAAGTAGATCAAAGCTTCTGGTGGGCAGACACTGTCTCGGCCTGAGCTGCGCCCTGACCAGGGCTTGACCCTTTGTACTCTCTTACCTGGTTGTAAGTACTTCAGTGGATAAAAGGCGCCTCCTTGTGAATCCAGTCAATAAACCGGTCGATGTGCCACACATCCCTTTCTCCAGGAGTCCTACAAGACGATCTTGCCAAAACTCCAGGTAGTGTTTGGTGTTTGGAAAAAATGATAACCTTTTCTTTTTTGTTATTATTGTTGAATTCATTTATATCTTATACTGACAGCCCACAGAGCTCTGCACTGTGGGCTGTCAGTATAAGTACTCAGTGAGTATTTGACTGGATTAGATCCTTCCCACCCTTCCATTCCCATCCCTTAGGAACAAAGTGTGGAGGTTGATCAGCTGAGTTTGTACTGGGCCGAAACAATTGGGAGAGGAGGTTTGCACATAAGCATGAGGGTGGGCCTAGGGGGAGCAGAAGTAATATAAACATGATGCCTACTCTCACAGAGTTTATCATAACATACATGAAACAGAGAAGATTCTACTGCTCTCCAGCAAGCAGCTTCTGCCTTTTGTACCAACTTCAGCTTTATTATGGCTGTCTAGAGTGCTGTCTCAGAACGATTCTGAAATTACACCAAATTAGCATTTTGTTGCTAATGAAAAAGATTGCCATGATTGATGAGCACTGCACCGTGAGCCCAGGATGGGAGGCAGTCGACATGCTTCCTGAATATTTCATAGCCTTGCAGTGTATATTTAAGTGTAAAATAATGAAGTATCACCTTGGCTGATTTGGCTCAGTGGGTAGAGTGTTGGTCTGTGGGTTCAATTCTGGTCAAGGGCATGTACCTAGGTTGCAGGCTTGAACCCTGGCCCTGGTCAGGGTGTACACAAGGCAACCAATCGATGTGTCTCTCTCACATCGATGTTTCTCTCTCTCTGTCTCTCCCCTCTCTTCCACTCTCTAAAAAAGCAGTGGAAGAATATCCTCAGGTGAGGAGTAACAAAAAAACAAAACAAAAAAGTGTCAGTGTGTGACAGGACAGATGTTGAAGTGAAGATAGAGGATTGTTGTGAAGATAGAGAATTTGATGTTGTTAATCCTCAGATGCACCCTGAGCTGAATGGAGAAGTGTTGGGAGAATATTTTGGTGGAGGGAAGCATCTAGGCCAGGGGTGGGCAAACTTTTTGACTCGAGGGCCACAATGGGTTCTTAAACTGGACCGGAGGGCCGGAACAAAAGCATGGATGGAGTGTTTGTGTGAACTAATATAAATTCAAAGTAAACATCATTACATAAAAGGGTACGGTCTTTTTTTTTTTTTTAGTTTTATTCATTTCAAACGGGCCGGATTCGGCCCGCGGGCCGTAGTTTGCCCACGGCTGATCTAGGCAAAGGCCCAGAGTCAGGGATAGAGATGGAGCAGGGGGTGGTGGAGGTGAGTCTGGCTGGAGCAGGGGGTTGGGTGTGGGGGGAGGGTCACTCTGGATGAGAGCTGTGGGAGATTACATGGAAAGGTTAGGCAAGAAGAGGCTGTGAGGAATGGGGGTGGGGAGGCTGGAGTTCCTTCCCTGCTGCTGACCATCATCACAAAGCCCGAGCCTTGGCATGAAGTTCTTTGAGGGCAGAATGGCGGCATCTGGATATAATAAACTTTCAATAACAAAGGCTCTGGAGTAAAATGTCAATTTTCTCCTGTTCCTGCTAATTGATGCTGTGTGTGGTTCTTGTCTTTTTCTTCCTGACTGTTATATAAATACATTTTTAAAGCACAGCTGGATTCCTGTAGCCTTAGACAGCCACCTACAAAGATGCAGAATGTCAAGAGGGGTGGGAACCCCCTCCTCCCATTCTTCACACTGCACAACTGTGCTGGGAACAACCGAGGCCTGCTGGGTTCTAACTAGTGATGACTCACTGCAACTGAAGCAAAGTCAGTGATGTTTGAATGGGAAATGGGAGAAAAAATGCAGCCGCTGTCACCACTGCAACCTGGGGCAAGCCTGGAGCTGCTCAGACCCTCTTCTCCCAAGAAGTATGCCTTTACATCTGTAGTTCCAAGAAAAACTGCATTAAAGGAGAAAGAAAGCATTAGAATATTTCTTTTTTGTTTTTGTGTGGGTTTTTGTTGTTGTTAATCCTCACCTGAGGATATTTTTTTCCATTGATTTTTTTTTTTTAGACAGAGTTGGAGGGAGGGAGGGAGATAAGGAGGGAGGAAAGGGGAAACAGAGAGAGAGAGAGAGAGAGAGAGAGAGAGAGAGAGAGAGAGAGAGAGAGAGACATCAATGTGAGACAGACATTATCGATTGGTTGCCTCCCACACTCGCCCCGACCAGACCAGGGATTGAACCTGCATCCCAGGTATGTGCTCTTGATGCAAATCAGACCCACGACATTCTAACCACTGAGCAACACTGGCCAAGGCTAGAATATTTCTTTACAGTTTGCCTTTGTTTAGGCATCTATTTTGTGGGCACAAGTAGGTTAATGATACCTAAATATTTGCTGACATCATAACCTTTTTGTGTTTTAGGAGGTCGCAGGGTAGAGTGGTTAAAGGTTTGAGGCTTGGAGCCAGGCTGCTTGGTTTTGAATTATGGCTCCCCCATTCTCTTGCTGTATGACAAGGTCCTTAATTTTCCTGCACTTTGCTTTTTGAAAATAAGGATAGTAATAGTTTCCTACTTCATAAGGTTATTGTGAACATTCAGTGAAGTTCATTTAAATGACACATAAAATATGGACATAGTGCAAGTGCTCAGAAAGTGATCATTATCATTATTTAGGGTTTTCATTTGTGGAAAAGGGAGATGGTCTTATATGATAGTAGATCATCAGTGCATGCACTTAAGTGGTGGATGTTGGGCTCAACTCTGCCACTAAATGTGACAGACTTTCTGGCCTTACTTTTTTCATCTTTTAGAGCATTCACTAGACCTGATCTCCCTCACAGGGGATGGGGTCATATGTGATCATGAAATGCTTTGGAAAGTATAAAGCAGTTGGCAAGTGCCACATTATAAAAAATATTTTTTTATTGATTTCAGAGAAGAAAGGAGAGGGACAAAGAGATGGAAACATCGTGATTAATCGGCTGCCTCCTGCGTGCCCCCTATTGGTGATTGAGCCCACAACCCGGGCTTGTGCTCTGACCAGGAGTCGAACCAGTGACCTCTTGGCTCCAAGGTGGATGCTCAACCCCTGAGCCACATCTGGCCGGACCTCAAGTGCCACATTTTATTGTTGCTGTTACTGTAGGAGTCATGGGGGTGGTGATAATACTGATAGAAATGGGTCTAATTTTAAATGTAAAAAGCATTAGGAATAATTTACTCATGGCTGCCAAGCACATTTATTTACTTTCTCTTTCTTGAAATAGAATAACATTTCAAGTTTTCTTCTTCCTAGAAACCTCGGGGAGCTGATAGATCGATTTGTGGCGGATTTCAAAGCCCAGGGGCCACCTAAGCCCAACACTGATGAAGGGGGTGCCGTGCTCCCCAGCTGTGCTGACCTCTTTGTGTACTACAAGAAGTGCATGGTGCAGTGCTCTCAGCTCAGCACCGGGGAGCCAATGATCGCCCTGAGCACCATTTTCCAGAAGTACCTCCGAGAATATGCCTGGAAAATCCTCTCTGGCAACCTGCCCAAGTGAGTCCTGTTCTCCCTGGTCCGAGTGGGGAAGTATGCTTCTAAACACACCTAAATATGGGAATCTTTAAGGAAATCCACTATGAAGTTATTTCCTGAACTGCTGAGAGGATCAAGGAAGAAAACACCCTGATTGAGTTCACAAGACCTGAGACTATTTCCTCTCTAAATGGGATTCCACAGCTCTCAAGACCGTTAGAGGAAATGCCCTTGCTGGCTGCCAGCATAGGTCAGATCTTACCACCGTGGGCTCGAGGGAGTCGGCCCATTATATGTATATTTAATTTACATGGATTCAATGGTGGCTACTTGGCCAAAAAAGTGAGGAAGTGGTGGAATAACTCATAAACAGCATGGGCAGTTTCACTCAGGCCCCATTCAATGAGGGTATGTCCTGGGATGATAAATAGACAAGAGGCATGAGCCTGCCTTCCCTTAGTCTAATTACATTCCCAAGTCTCTCCTATGGTATGTGTGTCTTGCTATGCTGGATAGAGTCTAATGTTTAAAGATGTAGTGAGATTTGGGGGTAGGGAGTTGCATAGCACAGCTCCTAATTATAGTGACTTCACCATAGTCACTAATGTTGTTACATTGTTATTGCTTGAAATAAATGAATCATTACACTAGGGTTTTAGATGTTCTGGTTATACTATAGCAATTTCAGTTGTTATAGAATATGATCTAAGGTAAGGCTTTGAAATTTAGTGATTATGAATCATCCCCGTGGCTCAGTTCAACAATTATGGAATTAGTTTCTGTCGTTGTCACTAAAAGGTGTCCTACATGGAAGTTTTACATTATTTGGAGCAGCGGTTCTCAACCTGTAGGTCACCAACCTGTGGGTCGCGACCCCTTGGGGGTCGAACGACCCTTTCGCAGGGGTCGCCTAAGACCATTGGAAAACACATATATAATTGCATATTGTTTTTGTGATTAATCACTAAGCTTTAATTATGTTCAATTTGTAACAATGAAAATACATCCTGCATATCAGATATTTACATGACGATTCATAACAGTAGCAAAATTACTGTTATGAAGTAGCAACGAAAATAATTTTATGGTTGGGGGTCACCACAACATGAGGAACTGTATTAAAGGGTTGCGGCATTAGGAAGGTTGAGAACCACTGATTTGGAGGAAAGAAAACAAAATCCATGTGCTCTACAAGACATTTGAAGTAGCAGATATGTTTTACCAATGAGAATTTCTTTGACTGTGATAGAAACCATTTAAAAGTTTTTAGTAACTTTTGTCCTGATGATCAAAGTAATAGAAGTTCATAGAAGACACAGGAAAGCACTAAGATTGAAAAGAAAAATCACCAATAATCTCACCACCCAGAGAAAACAAGTTTAACTTTTTGGTATATGTTCTTCCATTCTTTTTTTTTTTTTTAATATATTTTATTGATTTTTTATAGAGAGGAAGGGAGCGAGATAGAGAGAGTTAGAAACATCGATGAGAGAGAAACATCGATCAGCTGCCTCCTGCACACCGCCTACTGGGGATGTGCCCGCAACCAAGGTACATGCCCTTGACCGGAATTGAACCTGGGACCCTTGAGTCCGCAGGCCAATGCTCTATCCACTGAGCCAAACCGGTTAGGGCCCATTCTTTATTTATATATATAATATGTGTGTTTGTGTCTCTTCTTTGTTTGTTTACCAGAATTGGGACTGTACTGCTTATTATAGCTTTATTTCCTGCTGCTTTCTTTCTTTTTTAAAAAAATATATTTTTATTGATTTCATAGAGCAAAGGAGAGGGAGAAAGAGATAGACATATCAATGATAACAGGTAGTCATTGATAGGCTGCCTCCTGCATGCCCCCGACTGGGGATCAAGCCTGCAACCCGGGCATGTGCCCTGACCGCGAATCCAACCCAGGACCCTTCAGTTCACAGGCTGATGTTCTATCCACTAAGCCAAACCAGTGAGGGCTATACCTTGCTGCTTTCACTTAACATCATCCTGGGAGCATTCTTTCATGTGTGTTAGCCAGTGTCCCAGCAGGAAGCCAATGATGTGCTCAGCTGGGATGTTATTAGGATTGAGGCTGCTGAGTAGTCACAGAAACGAGGGTAAGGTAGAAGGAACCAACAGAGGACTCCGAGGCATCCATATAGTAGTGGGTGATTATTACTACTTTGAAACTCACTGACAGGTAGGGCTGAGGACAAAGGTTTGCCCCACAGAAACTAGTCGTAGAGGGCCAGTCACTGCCAGGACCACACTGAAGCAGAGGGAGTTGGAGGACTATTATTGCTCAGACTTCTCTCCCCTGTACCTCTCTGACTTCCTGCTGTATCTCCCGTTGGCTGAACGCAACAGGAGGAAGCCTGAGGGCCAAGGAACCTGGATGATGATAAGTCTGTGGAAGTCAGTCTCCTGAGCCATAGAGAAGGGAAGAGCAGAAAATGGATCTGGGAGGCCAGCAGAGAATAGTGGGCACTCCTGACAGTAAATATTCATCAAAACATGTTTAATGGTGCCATGGCAGTCAAAAATGGAAGAACCTCAGTTAACTTCTGGGATTATGATTGATCATTCTCTTAATTGGTCGTTTGGGTTGGGTTTACTATTTTGCTATTTTAAATAACACTCAGAAAAGTGTTCTTGAACAGAAGTGGAACTACTGGCTTAAATCACCTGGACATTTTCATAAGCTCCTGAAACACACCTCCAGAAGGGCTGTCCGGTGTGACGCTCCTAATCTATAGTGGACAGGAGTGCCAGCGCCCTCCCACTCTTACAAGTCCTGGGAATTAAAGTGTTTTCATACCTTTGATTATCAGTAACTGGGCAGGTTTTTTATAAGTACCATGCGCTAACCAATTGCGCCACTGGAGCTCCGAGGGCAGGTTTTTTAAAGGAGAAGTTTCTCTTTAATTTTTTTGTTGTTAATTCTCACTTGATATTTTTCCATTGAAACTTTTTTAGAGAGAGTAGAAGAGAGAGGCAAAGACAGAGAAACATGAGTGTGAGAGAAACACATTGATTGGTTGCCTCCTAACCTAACACAAGCCCTGACCAGGGCTGGGGCTGGGGAGGAGCCTGCAATCAAGGTACGTGCCCTTGACCAGAATCAAACCTGGACCCTCTGGTTCACAGGTTGACGCTGTAGCTACTGAGCCAAACCAGCTGGGGCTAATTTTTAAGATAAATGCCATTGAATTCTATCTACTTTTAAAAAAATTAGACACTCATGGTTGAAATAACAGGAAGTTTTATAACCGCATTTTGACATTTTGTGAGTGTGTGATTAGACCCCAGTGGAAGCGATGAGATGTCTTCTGGTTTCTTGAGACAGTGGGGGTTTGGGCAGGAACCATTTCTTAATGTGCACTTTTGTACCCCTCCACCACCACGTGCAAATTCCTGTGCAGAATTTGCTTGACTGAGAGAAACAATTGGGGAGCCAGCTCTTGTGCTTCAGATGATCCTGAATGAGCTCAACAGATCAGGAAATGCCAAGCTAAGCAGCCAGTGTTCAGCAGCCTCCTCTGTATCAGAGTCATCACAGTAAATATGACTGATTACTGGCTCACTGTTGGAAACATCCTTTCCTATTTCTGATGGTCTGAGAATTTAAACAGATGATAGTCAAGGTGAGGTCAATAGGAAAGGACTTGTTGTATGTGGGTTTATTTGGGCCATGTCCAGCCTTTCCTTCCCCCCTTTCTTTTCTTAAAATGTGCAGTTTCCAGTTCAGGAAGCAAATGAGAAGGCCCAGCCTGACTACTTCCTGTTCCCTTTCCTCAGAACCACAAGCAGCAGTGGAGGGCTGACCATCAGCAGCCTCCTCAAGGAAAAGGAGGGCTCCGAAGCAGCCAAGTTCACCCTGGAGGAGCTCTGCCTCATCTGCAGCATCCTGAGCACAGCAGAGTACTGTCTGGCCACTACCCAGCAGGTGAGCCGCCTGGCCGCCCGCTCCCCACCTCCTTTTCCAGGACCATCTCGGCCCCTTAGCTCAGTTGGTAAGAGTATGGGCCCTAAAAATGAAAGAAAAAAAAGTATGTGCCCTAACAAGGTCTCATAAAACCTTGGGCAGACTAGTTGGCCTCCCACAGAGGAAAACTGCTGGCTGTCCAGCCAGAAGACGGCCATCACAGAAGGGCCTTGTTAAAGGATCCCAGGCAAGGAAGTATGACTGATCTCTTCCCCGGAGTTATGTAAGCTACATAAAGGGCATGCCCTCCCAAAAGTAGGTCAGTAGCCCCATCTCCTGTATGAGACAAGCAGGAACAGACTGAAGGGTACTAGGACCCAGGCTCTGGTGGTGATGAGTCACGGCAGTTATTCCATTCTCAGAAGTCTTACTAGGCTAAGCAGAATCCTTTGGGCTTTTATGTGTCTCCTGGAATTTACATAGCAGTCTCAATCTGCCTAAACAAACAACCATTGTTTGGATGTTGACGTTCAGGAACTGTGAGGCAGGAAAGGGTGATGCCTCTACTGGAGTTCCTCATTAAAAGAAGGAAGACCCAGAATAATTTACCATTCAGCCTTAGATGTGGATTAAAAGTGCCTTTTCACATTTGCTCTGGAATTCACCTGAAGCCAAAGAAAGGACGCAATTGGGGAAGGTGCTGCTCTTCCCCTTTTGGGGGTTTATTATTTACACATGTTTAGAACATAGGAAGGCCGTCATGAATTAAGGTTCAGACGGGACAGTTTGAACCCCTGTGAGCCAGAGTAAGAATACAGAACAGCCAGATAAGCAGTGTTTCCCCTAAAACTTCACAGTGGGGTTAAGCCAGTCAGAGGCCAGGCAGTAGCATGCTCTGCCTGGGGACGTGGGTAGATTGAGTCACACAGGGGATGATCTGTCAGGGTTTGGCCTTGGAGCCGGAGACAGCAATCCACTTGTTAGAAATAAGGCAAGTCCCCAACTTCAGGGGTCCTGGTAGAACACAAAGCAGACCTGGGAGCCAGGCAGCAGGCAAATGTCTCTACTCCTGCAGGAGGGTGTGCAGCACGTGGTCAGGGAGCACGCACTGAGCTTGTGGTCTGCTTGGCTTTTTAATCCTGGCGCACATGACCTGTCCCTTGCTTTTGATTGGAGCTCAGGTGCAGTCTTTCGAGATTGGCTGATTCAAAGGGAGAGGTTGGCCTTTGCCATTTCAAGATGTTGGCCCCACCGGAGCTGCAAGCCATGCAGCCAAAATGGCAGCTGCCAAGTCACACAGTCCAACATGGTGGCTGTCTAAACTGCTCTTGAACAGAAATGATGACTGGTTTATTCTCACACACTTAACCCCCAGGACTCCCAATATCTGTGAGGACCTCCAAGGAAGGGGTCCCAGAGTTCTTTGAGGAAGAAGCACTAGTGAACTATTCTGTGCAGAATTAGAAAGAATACACACAGATAAATAATGGTATTTTAAAAGTAAAACAAAAACAAGCTATAAAAATAATGACCCTTGATCCCATCACCCTCAAATAATCATATTAGCAATTTGGAGGGTTGTGTTATTTTTAAATTATTTCCTTTTTTAACTTTTTAAAAATGTATTGATTTGAGAGAGAGGGGAAGGTGCCGGGGGAAGAGGAGAGAGGAACATCAATTTATTGTTCCATTTACTTACACAGTCATTGGTTGCTTCTCACGTGTTCCCTGACCGGATTGTCAGCGTAGCTATCGGGACGGAGGCCTGGCCGCTGAGCTGGCAGCAGGGTAGAGGTTCCAGTGGCTTTTCATGGGGGAGCCAACCTGGATAAGTCCTGCTGGTCAGAGATGGGACAGGGGAACATCGGTGAGAACATGAGCCACAGTGGATGGAAACAGCAAAGATTATTCTATCTGTTTGATTATAATGATTTTTTAAAAATTTATTTCTCACATTTGAAGATCCTAAGAAACCGTGGGAATGAATTAAAGAGTGGCAAATAAAGGGGACATTCTTGTCCTGCCTTACCTAGCTGACTTGTACCTCAGGATAACCAAATAGTGGACAATGGGAAGTACCTTTTTATAGCCGAATTTTAGTTAATGAAGAAGAAAAGATAGAATTAGAATTTTTTTAATGGTTTTATTGATTTCAGAGAGAGGAAAGGAGAGGGAGAGAAATAGGAACATCGATGAGCCCTAGCCAGTTTGGCTCAGTGGATAGAGTGTCAGCCTGCAGACTGAAGGGTCCCGGGTTCGATTCCCAGTCAAGGGCACATGCCAGGGTTTCGGGCATGATCCCTGGTGGGGGGCATGCAGGAGGCAGCAGATCAATGATTGATTCTCTTTCATCATTGATGTTTCTATCTCTCCCTCTCCCTTCCTTGATTAAAAAAATATCAATGAAAATATTTTTTTAAAAAAGAAACAAAGATGAGAGAAACATGGATCTGCTGCCTCCTGTACAACCCTCACTGGGGATCGATCCTGAAACCCAGGCATGTGCCCTGACCAGTAATCAAACTGTGATCTTTTGGTTCATGGGACAATACTCACTGGCCGGGCTAGAATATCGTTGTTTATACTTCCTAGTGGAATAATGGATTTGGGCATTGACCATCTATGGCTACTGATACTACAAAAGGAGAGACAGGCAAACATCATGCATCTGCCCTGCTGGTGTAGTTCAGTGGTGGAGCATTGAACTATGAACCAGGAGGTCACAGTCTATTCCCGGTCAGGGCACATGCCCTGGTTGTAGGCTGGATCTCCACTAGGAGGCATGCAGGAGGCAACCAATCAATGATTCTCTCATCATTGATGTTTCTATCCCTCTCTCCCTCTCCCTTTCTTTCTCTGAAATCTATTAAAAAGACTATTAAAAAAAAAAATCCAAGCAATAAAATTTTATAAACAATGCCAAGCCCTTGCCGGTTTGGCTCAGTGGATAGAGCATCGGCCCGCTGACCTGGATTCAATTCTGGTCAAGGGCACGTATCTTGATTACAAGCTCGATCCCCAGCCCTGATCAGGGTGCTTGTGGGTGGCAACCAATTGATGTCTCTCTCTCTCACATCAATGTTTCTCTCTCTGTCTCTTCCCCTCCCTTTCACTCTCTCTCAAAAAAAAAAAAAAAAAAAAAAAAAAAAGGAAAAATATCCTCCAGTGAGGATTAACAACAAAAGCCAATAATGTATCAATATTGGTTCATGAATTGTTACACTTTTACACTTAATATTTGCATGGGGTATTTCATTCATTCATTAACCCATTCATTCAAGAGATCTTTATGAAGCAGGTGCTTTGGTTGATGTTAATTAACAGTGGTGAACAAAGTAGCTAAGTTTCTTTCTGTCATGGAACTTAGAACTGATGGAAGACCCCAGGTAATAAATATGTAACTTCAGTTTTGTGCTAAGTGCTAAGAAGGAAACAGGTGTCGCAGTGCTAGTGAGGGAGCTGCCTACAGAAGTAGAGGGGACAGAGGGCCTGTTGGGGCCGTTGGCTGGTCAGCATCCCTGCACCAAAAGGTTGCTGCTTAGATTCCCGGTCAGAGCATATGCCCAGGTTGCAGGCTCAGTGCCCAGCAAGGGGTGTGCAGGAGGCAACTCATCCACTCTCATATCGATGTTTCTCTTTCTCTTTTCCTCTCCCTTCCTCTTTCTCTAAAAATATTTATTTAAAATAGAGAGAAGAGCCTCTCTGAGAAGTGACATTGAAGCAGAGACCTGAGGGTTGGGAAGGAGACTGCCCAGTGAGAAGCTGGGGGAGGGAGAGCGGGGTGCTAGGCAGTGTTTCAGAGAGAGGAGAGGAAGTAGGAAGTTGGAAGGCCCCAGGGGGGCGGGGGGCAGGGCGGGGGACAGACTTTGGTATTTCCAAAACTTTAACTGGCCAATGTAATTGAACCCAAGCCAGCAAGGGGGGAAGCTCAATGTGGCAGGAGAGAGAGACAGGACCCAAAGCAGGGTTAGAAGTTTGGATTCATTTTCAGTGTGGTAGGCAGAGGCTGCTGGCGAGTTTAAGCATTGTAAGCCTGCACCATAATTTGTTTTATCAGTCCCTTGTAAATATACGTGTAGATTGTTTCCAGTTTTTCAATAACAAATAGCATTAGAAAGTGAGCTTTATGAGAACGGAATCTTATTGTTTTGTTCATTGAATAACTCCATTACTCTTTTACAGAGCCTGGTACAAAATGAGCTTTCAGTAAATATTGGTTGACTTCATGAATGCTGCAAAGAATACTTGCATATCTTTGTACATTGTCCTCATTATTTCATTAAAGTACTTTCCTAGATCTGAAATTGCTGGCTTGAAGGTTGTATATACTTAATTTTTTGCTTTTTAAATAAATTGCTTTCCAAAAAGCTTACACTAATTTATGCACCCTAAGAGCATTTTTAAATTTAAGGCAGCACATTCGTTAGTTTGTGTAATAAATAGGTCTGGGAGTGCTCGGTGAATCAGTTTCTGGGATGGTTGGAGATATTTACAATTCCGGGTCAGTTATATTTTTCTTCGAGGCTCTGGGAGCATGGCCAGGGTTTTTCTCTTAGGCTGTAGGCTGCTGACGGCAGAGACTCTGCTTCTTTGCTTCACCTCAGTATCCCCAACACCTTAACCCCGTGGGTGGTGTGTAGGGGCACTCAGTGAAGACTTTAATACTGATTTTGTTGCCACCCACCACCAGAGGTTTCCACTGTTGGGGAGTGAGCCTGCAGTGGATGAGTAGTGAGTATCCTAAAAACCAGGGTCTTTTTTCAAATTAGTGAAATGGCTCTGGCCAGTGTGGCTCATTGGTTGGAGCGTTGTCCCATGCACCAAAGGATCGCGGGTTTGATTCTGTCAGGGTACATGCCCGGGTTGCGGGTTCAATTTCCAGTTGGGGAGCATCTAGCATCCAAGAGACAACCAATCAATCTCTCTCTCTCTTTCTTTCTTCCCTTTCCTCCCCTCCCCGCCCCTCCCTTCCCCTCCTCCTTCCTTCCCTCCCTCTCTCCCTTCCTTTCTCTCTCTCTCTCTCTCTCTTTTCCTACCTTTCTCTCTAAAATCAATAAGAACTTATCCTCACGTGAGGATTAAAAATAATCAGTGAAATAAATTGTCAGTGTCATAAGAGACAATTACAACCCAGTGCTCAAGGGCACAGGTTCTAGAGGATTTACTTCCTGGTCCCTCCGCTTACTGTCTTGGGTGGGTCACCCTCCATTTCCTCATCTGTAACATGGGGATAGGAATAGAGTCTTCCTCCTAGGGTTGTGCGAATGCAATGAGTCAATGCAGGAAAAGGGCCTGGAATTATGCTTGAATCATCAAACTCAGTCCATGTTAAGTATTCTTTTTTTTTTTTTTTTTTTTTATATATTTTATTGATTTTTTACAGAGAGGAAGGGAGAGAGATAGAGAGTCAGAAACATCGATGAGAGAGAAACATCGATCAGCCACCCCCCGCACATCCCCCACCGGGGACGTGCCCGCAACCCAGGCACATGCCCCTGACCGGAATCGAACCCGGGACCCTTCAGTCCGCAGGCCGACGCTCCATCCACTGAGCCAAACCGGTTTCGGCCATGTTAAGTATTCTTATTTCGGCTCTTATTTGGATAATCATTAAGCATGTTTTTCTTTTCTAACAGCTGGAAGAAAAACTCAAAGAAAAAGTTGATGTAAGTCTGACTGAACGAATCAATCTGACTGGAGAAATGGACACATTCAGCACGTATGTACCTCGCACACACTTGCTCATGGTCTGCCCTGCACAGAGCGGCATGTCTCAGGCTAGGGGCCTTAGGCCACTGCAGAGCCTTCGAGGCTTCCAGGGCCTTCTGATGGATCGGGGTCCTCCTCCACCAGCCACCAAGAAGAACCATGAGGAGCTGGTGCGGCTGCGTCCCATTCTGTCTCCTCAGATAGAACCGTTACTAGCTTTAGGTTTATATTGTTTCACTATTAGAATAGCAAAAAGAACGCCCCCTTGGACATCCCTGAGGGAAGGTCAGATCCAAGGCCTCCTATCTGCCTCCTAAATCCACAGGGGCCAGCCCCACCTCCAGTGTCTTAGAATATAAAGCAGCGCCCAGCCGGTTTGGCTCGGGATGGAGTGTCGGCCTGCGGACTGAAGCGTCCCGGGTTCTGTTCTCATAAAGGGCAGCTACCTCGGTTGCAGGTTCCATCCTTGGCCCTGGTTGGACGCATGGGAGGCAACCAATCGATGTGTCTCTCACATGGATGTTTCTCTTTTTCTGTCTCTTCCCCCGACCCCCTCCACTCTCTCTAAAAAAACCAATGGGAAAATATCCTCGGGTGAGGATTAACAAACAAAAAAAATTGTAATACAATATAAAACAGTGATTTTCAGCCTTTTATCTCCTGGCACACATAAACTAATTACTAAATTTTTGCAGCACACCAAACAATATATATATATATATTTTGCTGATCTGACAAAAAAGTAGGTATAATTTTGATTTATTTACACCAGAAGGCTAGTGTTGGCTGTTGTCATTTTTTTTTTATTTGCCAATCTAAGGGAAAAGAGGTCAGTGTCCCTGGCTACATAGTCAGGTATTGCATGTTTTAAAAATCTTGCAGCGCACCAGTGTGCTGTGGCACACTGATTGGAAATATCTGGTATACACTGTAAGCAGCCAGGTTTTAGCTGTGTGTGTGTGTGTGTGTGTGTGTGTGTGTGTGTGTGTGTGTGTGTGTTTGGGTTGGGGGAGGTGGGGTGTCTGTCCAACAAGTTCAAACTGAAAAGCCTTCTCAAAGTAGTTCTTTCCCTGGTGTTTCTTAGCAGTATTTTTTTCGTGGTCATTACATGAGATTGGGATAGGCCGAGCTTTCTCATCACCACTTTTTGAGGAAAAATTAAAGTTTTCTTAAGTCGTTTCCTCTCCTTTGTACTTTTGGAGGTAGAAGTGAAGAGAGATTCTGGGTGCAGCGAATAGGAAGAATTTTGTGTCCTCAGTGAGGACACACCTAAATAAGACCAGGACATGCAGCAAGAATGAAGAAAGAGCCAAGTGTTCCTCGTTGTCACTAATTCCCTTTTGAAATGAAACTCGAGTGTACTGAGTTTCTGATGAAATGATGAATCTCATTTTACACGGGTGCCTAAAACATTTGGGAGGGCTGTGTCATTTAAAAAGTCCTCTTTTGGAAAGTTCTGACCTACGAATTTGTTTGACTTGCAGTGTCATCTCGAACAGCATCCAGTTGTTGGTTCAGGACCTGGATGCTGCCTGTGACCCGGCCCTGACTGCCATGAGCAAGGTAAGGGTTTGGGAAGTTGCTTCCCAGACATCCAAGGGTGACCCCAGATGGTTTCTATCAGCTCTTGCCTGGAACGTCTTCAAGCTCTTCAGTGTTTAGAGCAGGGGTCCTCAAACTTTTTAAACAGGGGGCCAGTTCACTGTCCCTCAGACCATTGGAGGGCCGGACTATAGTTTAAAAAAAAATTATGAACAAATTCCTATGCACACTGCACATATCTTATTTTGAAGTAAAAAAACAAAACGGGAACAAATACAATATTTGTATTTGCATGTGGCCTGTGGGCCGTAGTTTGAGGACCCCTGGCTTAGAGTATCAGTCTGGAGGAGAATGGAGGACCTCAAGGAGTCTCCCAAAGTGCTCATTTTATCTTATACCTTAGGTCCATCTCTTGTCCTTTTTTTAAAAAGAATATATATATATATATATATTTTATTGATTTCAGAGAGGAAGGGAGATGGGCGGGGGGAGAGAGAGAGAGAGAGGAACTTCAGTGATGAGAGAGAATCATTGATTGGCTGCCTCCTTCATGCCCCCTACTGGGGATTGAGCCTGCAACCTGGACATGTGCCCTTGGCGGGAATCAAACCCGCGACCCTTCAGTCCGCAGGCCAATGCTCTATCCACTGAGCAAAACCAGCTAGGGCTCATCTCTTGTCCTTTGAGAACAAGACGGGGAGCAGATGGGTTTGGTAAGTCTAAAGGAGATGTTAACTTTGGTTAGCATCTGACACGTGCTGATGAAAACTTTAAGTGGTCTCACCAGAATGGGTGCTTTTGTTAGTAACTTCTGGCTCATCTTCATTGTTGCCCACTGAGAGGATTTTCTCATTCTTTCTGAGCTCTGGTGCCCATGCAGGATTGTTTAATCAGGTTGTGGACCCTGGTGTTCTGTTACCTTAGCTGCCCATCAGTTAGTTCTCAGCCCTCCTTTGACACCTACCACATGCTGCCTTGTGTTGCTATTTGGCTTTTATGTACCTGTGTCTTTCTTCCTAAAGGGATATAAATTCCTTAATGCATGGACCATATAGAACATAGAAGACTCATGTTTGTTGATTAATTGAGTTGGAACAGGCAATTCTTTATTGATTTATAAGTCAAATAACATTAAGCTATCCACTGTAGAACCTTCTAGAGCTGGGGTCAGCAAACTGCAGCCTGTGGGCCAAATTAGGCCCACTGCCTGTTTTTGTAAATAAAGTTTGTTTTTGTAATCACAAATAGGATTTCTTATTTGTCACCATTAAGTCCGAATTTTAAACACATTTTTGAACTAGAGGCTCAAATCCATCAGCTCATTCAGCTTTCCTGTCTCCATCCCCAGTAGCGTTTGCAGAACTGCTACCTTCACCGTGAAGCTCCATGAGTTTCCCCAATTCAAACTTGGGCTTCTTCAGCATTGACTTTTCTAACAAAGACGTCATGGAGCAGATTAATGAACTGGCAAGACTTTTCCAGTGTTCTCTGGAATCACTTTATTGACCACTTCTTTCAAGTCATTTGTCTGCACCTCTTGGGTCATGATTTCCATCATCATCTTCCAGATTTGGTGGGCCTGTTCATGCTGAGCACAGGGGGCCTTCCAAATCTGATTCTTGCGTTTTTTAGTAAAACCAACACAGAATAGACGAAGCAAATAGCCATCAGTAGTCTTGACATCAACATGAGCTTCAATCATGGTCTACCTTTTTTTTTTATCCTCACCCGAGGATATGTTTTTATTGATTTGAGAGAGAAAGGAATAGGAGAAAGAGAAACATCGATGTGAGGAACATCAATCGGTTGCCTCCCGTATGAGCCCTGAACAGGGATTGAACCCACAACCTAGGTATGAACCCTGACTGGAAATTGAACCCACAACCTTTTGGTACAGGACAATGCTCCAACCAACGGAGCCACCCAGCCAGGGCGGGTCTGCCGTTCTTTGACATGGAGTACATTTAGTGTCCATGGTAAGATCATGCCAAGGAAATTAGGCAAATTTTTGTCCTGAACATTCTTAGCTTGAATTTTCTAAATGGAACTGCATCATTCTGCGTTTCAGATAGGCTCACTTCAAAAACACAACCCTTGAGACCATTAGATAGAATTTTGTTCCTTAAGTTCTCGTGACGAGTACTTTTCCAATATTTCTTATACCGAACATAGCTGGTACTTTCTCATCATACCAATCTTGCTTGAAAAATGGATCGACCTCTCTAGCCAATTTGGCTCAGTGGATAGAGCATCAGCCCGTACATTGAAGGGTCCCAGGTTCAGTTCTGGTCAAGGGCATATACCTCAGTTGCAGGCGTGATCCCTGGCCCTGGTCGGGGCGTGTGTGGGAGGCAACCAGTCGATGTGTCTCTCTCACATTGAAGTGTCTCTCTCACATCGATGTTTCTCTCTCTTTCTCTCCCCCTTCCTTCCACTCTCTCTAAAACTCAATGGGAAAATATCCTCGGATGAGGATTAACAGAAAAAGAAAATGGATTAACCACTTTCTTCTTGGCTCCCTTTTTGTCACCTTTTGTAAGTCACTTGTTCTTGCCGATTGCCATGGTGCTGCTCAGAGAGCCGAAAGGTGCAAATAAAGTCTTAAATAAAGGTGTACAGTGGGGCCTTGACTTACGAGTGTCCTGACTAACGAGTTTTTCGAGATACGAGCCGTCTCTTTGCCGATTTTTTGCTTTGAGTTGCGAGCTAAAATTCGGGTTACGAGCCAGCTTCAGATACCCCACCGCTAGTTGGCGCAGCGAACGTCACAGTGAACGCCACAACATCAGCCCAGCATCACATGTCTGACTCGTTCACTTTTTGATTTGACATACGAGTAATTTGAGTTACGAGCTCCGTCACGGAACAAATTAAACTCGTAAGTCAAGGCCCCACTGTACATAAAGTTTTATTGGAACATAGCCATACTCATCTATCTATACAGGGTGGGCCAAAATTAGGTTTACAGTTGTTTGTTTGGAAAAATATACAGTAATTAATAAATAATAATACAAGAATGAAGTCTGGTGGTGGGTGAGAAGAGATCAGCCAAAGAACTTGTATGCATATATGTATAACCCAAGGCCTGGGGTGTAGGTGAGGATGGGGGTGGGCTAGAAGGGGTCAAAGGGAGGAGAATAAACTCTGTGTTTCACATACAACGGCAAACCTACTCTTGCCCCACCCTGTATATTGTCTGTGGCTGCTTTTTGGCTACAAGGGCAGAATTAAGTAATTGCAACTGAGACCATATGGCTCACAGAGCCTAAAATATTTACAATCTGGCCCTTTACAGAAAAAGTTTGCCAATGCCTATTTTAGTCTTAGACTCTTGTAGCATTCTTACAGATTCTGGAGAAAGAACTTCTCTGGGGTATACTGGTCAGTAGCAGACTGAGCACAGTGGAAAGAACACTGGCTTTGGAGTCAGACAGGCCTAACTCCCCTCATTTTTCCTCGGGGGGGGGGGGGGGGGGGGGTGTTGAGCAAATGACTTAACCTCTCAGGGCCCAAGTTACCTTCTCTGTATGAGAAGTCAGGCATCTGCTTCCGGCGCTGTGAGGATGGAGCACAAAGGGAGTGACTGACCCAGTGCCAGCAGATGCTAGCCCTCTCTCCCTCTTGTCAGGAGGAATGGCTGTGTCATGAGGTTTTGTTAGCAGACATTTGGTCTGAATTTGGTTTTGTAGTAGATTGTAAATATTTAACAAAAATAGGATTAAACCCGAAGCTTAGACTTCAGGGTTTTATGAAGCTAAGTGGGGAGTCCTGAAAAGCTGATGTCACAGCTTTTCTATTCAAAAGGTGGATCCTCTCGCCAATCCTGGCAATGTGCATTTCCAGTATTCTCAGTGTTTACAAGCAGACAACTCTGAGCAGGCAGGTTGAGGCTCACCCATTTTCTTAAAGGAACGTGGCTCTAAAGATCCATTTTGTGGGTTCATCCCTGGCTGCTGGTGAACACTCACTGTATCCTGAGCATGATCTGTTCCAGCTGCCATCTCTCCTGAACTGCCACACACTGTAGATCGGAATGCAGCTGGTGAAAGAACTTTTACATTTTCCAAAGAAGAGGGGATTTTTTTTTTTCTTTTAGTAAAACAACAGTTGTAGGGGATTTAACACTCCAGGTGTTGCTTATATGAACTTGTCAGTTCACTAGGTGGGTTTCCCTCAAGCCCCCTGCCCCTAGCCCTACCGCTCATTTCTCCCCCAGACCCACACCAGCAAATACTAACAGAGACCATACCTCCCGAATCTTTTGTTTATATCATAGGAAAACCACAGGCTTGGGAACGCAGCGGCTGGGAGGCTATGGCTCTTTGTCTGAGTCTTCTGGAGTTCTAGCAAAATGAAATCCATGTGATGAAAATGACTAGATATAAACAAGCCAAGTGGTCAGAGTGATTCAACATACAGCCTGTTATTGGTGCCTGCATCCTGTTTTGTGTAGTTTCTTCTAGGATTTTAAAAAACTTTTGTTTGGTAATCATGCTTATTACTATCTCTGATTCCATCATTTTTGCTGCTAATTGAACAGTTCAAATCAGACTCTACCCAGCACAGTGCTGGGAGTTGCAAAGCTTGGAAGGATATACTAGTAGATCTTATCTCAAGGTTCTGAGATTCCAGAAGGTGTGGGGCAGGAGATGTGTGAGATGAGAGGGATGCCCAAATAACTGCACTACAGTACCGTAAGAAAATCAGTACCATAGAAAAGCACAAAAATATTCCCTCTTTCAAAGAGGGGAGAGTTTATATCCCGATGGGGAGATAAGAGCCTTTGTAAGGAAGTGGCATTTGAAATAGGCCATGAAGGATGGTGCAGTTTTGAACTAACTTGTGATTAGGAGAGCATTTGAACAGGGTGACAGTATGAACAAAGGTTTGTAAAGTGAGGAAAATCAGAACTTTGTCAAAATTGCCACCTTTAGAATTCCACAGGGTACTCTGTACTTGCACTTACAAGGGAAACCTGCCCTCAAGAAGTTTATATTCAGGGGAGGGGGTACTTAGAATAA